CAAGATGCATCATGTAAAGGTACAATTCCCAATGAGAAATGTAATTGTGTTGTATACCTACAATGTACCAATAAAAGAATTTAATAAAAAAAGATACAGTATTCTGGGTTTAGCAAGGCACTGACTCTCTCTGTGCGCAATCCAGCGATTTCCTAGGGATCTCAGCCTGGACATGGGGCTACACACCTTGATTTGATTCAGTCTTCTGGAGTAGCAGGCAAGCTCTGAGTGTCTCTAATCCACCATCTTACTCCTTCCTGATGAATATATTCCTAACTTATCTCGCTCATGTGTGATTGGCCACTTTCATTTTGTGAAATAGAAAAAAGTTTATTCCCCATTCCCTGTCCATTTTTTCCTTTTCCCATAATTTTTCCTTTCCCTTCTTTCCTAAGAACAAGATACATCATGTACAGGTACAAGTACCCAATGATAAATGTAAATGTATTGTATACCTAAAATGTACCAATAAAAGAATTTAGGGGAAAAAGAAGTAAAAAAAAACCCAGTTTATTCAACATTTGAATAGGTCATTATTTTGTTGATGATGAGAAAATGTATTTTATAGAATAGTGTATTTATTTAGATTACTTATAGTTAATGTATTTTATAGAATCACAAAATTTAGAAATATAAGCGGGTTCATTGTATTTTAAATCAGTATGGGAGTTGAGGTTTATCAGTTTGAAAAGAAATATGATTTCTTTTTATTCATTTAAAATGGGTCACAAACAAAATCAAATGTCAAATTTAGAATATCTAATATTGAAATATGCTTTTATTTTAACACCGAACATTTAGTCATCATGAGAATTTTATAAGAAAAGAGTGGCTTTATATATATCTATAGAAAGAGATACAGAAAGTCTTATTATTTCAACCACTGTATTTTTAGTTGTGTCTATAGTTTGGAAAGGAAAAGGAGCCAAGAGAACCTATTGTTTGCAGCCATCAATTTACTTAAACAATTCTGTGAACTTTCCCCCTAAAGCGTGATAGGATAATGATGTTTAAGGGGAGGAAACTCTACCAAAGAAGAGGATGGTATTGTTATCATTTTGTTTGATGATAAATAGGAAAGGATGATCACAATTGAAGTCTTCATATATTGTTGCTGAAGTTATAGATCCCATTGAGCCAGTAATAGCTGCAGCTTCTGCCCCTTCTTCATTCACCTTCACGAAGGCCTTGTGCATGACAATAGATACCACTAAATCCCTGTCTCTGCTCATGCTGGAAAAGTCAGCATCCTGTGGATGGAAGGCTTTTTCCATCCCCATGTCTATCAATTTGGATTTGAGATTGTAGCTGTCTTCCATTATGAACTTAGGTAGGTGTAAATTCACGTCTGTCATGTTCATATTCTGTAGGCTTGTCCACTCCATTAATTTCTCAGCAGTGAGTTTATCTTCAAGCTATAAAAAGGGAAAAGTTCAAACTGATATGATTAACTGTAGTCCTCTAACACACTTTAACAATGAATGGAATATGGTGAGATATTTATTTTAACAATAAATGTAATATACAGATGATTCAGTTTATGAAATAATATTCTAATGAGCCAAAATTGCAGTTCTGAATATATAAGTACGATACAGCTATATATAGGTCCATTTAATACTGAATCATTACATTACCATATTTTATACAAAATGAACTATATATCATTACTCTATATGCTACCAAACTATTTTATTAAACACAGATTCTTGATTTTCTGGAACTCATAATTTATCCAATACTGTAGGTATGGGCATTTTAAATTTTTTTTGCTTGAGATATTTGTAAACATTTCCCACATTACTCTTTCTTTCCACCAAGTAAACAATTTTGCCTTTCAATACTGTAAAATTGAAATTTAATGTATATAACACTATTTAATCATTGATTAACTGACTGTTAGTACATGTCAGACTCTATGCTACAATATTTGTAATGAAAAGATAAATCATCATTCCTTGTGTTGAAATTTTCATTATTTTAAGACATCTTGCTCTAAAAGCTTTTGCTTTCCTGGTGACTTAGGAAAACAAAATGACAATAGAAAGCCAAAATGTAGGTGCAAGTTTTACCTGCTGCAGACCATCTACTTCATTTGGCAGCAAGACCACCATGCTTAGAGCTTTGCCTTTGTAAGGTATTTCCACCATCTTGGCCTGCACATCTTCCAAGGGGGCAAATTTGAGATGGTTGCTTTGTTCCATCATCTGCACAGATTTGCTGGTATCCTACAATAAATGAAAGCATCAAGCAAACACCAAATTAGACATAATGCAAGTTTCTTCAGGTACTCCTAAGTAAATTTTCAAGAATAAAATAATGAAACAATACTCATAATATATTTGATTTTTTTATGTACAGTGTTATACCTATCATATACGCTTAAATTTAACTTTCTATATAAAACTACATTGTATTAAGGAAATACAGTCAATACCTTATTCAGCCAAAATTTTCTTTCTACAGTATTTTTTTCATCAAATTTCAGATTCCAGTCCCCCTTGAAATAGATTGCATTCACCAGAATCAGTTTGGTATCACTGTGAAGAGACCCATTAGGAAATATTTCCTTAATCTTGTCTGTAAGAGAAGAGAAGATGGTCTGTCAAACAAGGTAGAATTTACTTGCCTAAGAGATACTTTGTGACTTATCATTAATTATTCAGCTAAGTGACTACTTTAGGGACTTGTAGGCCTATTCACTAAGTTTAGCCTTCTTCAGAGTGACAGCCTTAGAATTACCTCTGATCAAGATACCAGTGCTTGGTTTGGAAATGTGCTTTAGGCTGTTTGTTTTTAGGTGATTACAGTCATTTCACACAGTACTGAAAAACAGATTTCATCTACTCTTTCAATTTATCTTTCACATTTCTCCCTCTCTACCTTTCTTTCTAGTTTTTCCAATTTTGCCTGCACTGCTTAGAGGAAATAGGTCCTCAACATTAGGAGCAGTGGCATGAGCTCTATTATGTAAAACCTAGAGGCTCTGCTGAGTGAGAGTACTCCCTGGACTGTCTTCCTACTTATTCTCATGAGGAATTACCATAGGCTTGGGCTGTATGACAGGTAGGAGATAAGGCAGGTGGTCATAGAAGGAAGTTTTGTTAAGCTCTCTACCATGCATAGAGAAGTTATTTGTGATAACACTTGTAGGAGGTATGAGTGAAGATGTGGTCCAGGTAGTTCTAGCTTAGCTGGCATGAGGTATTGCTTAACTGAGGTTCCCCATTAGTAAAAGGAATCCTGGTTGGAGATTATCTCAGTGGTTCCTTCGCCTGCCTCACAAGCACAAGATCCCCAGTTCAATCCCCAGTATCCCCCCCCCCCCAAAAAAAAAAAAACAGAAAAAGGAATCCTATCTAATGATCTTAAAGGTCCTGGTATGGTTGGAAGCCTATGTTCCCCCAAGAGGCTTATAGCATAGGAGGCTTAGATCTGTATGAGCTTTGGGAAATGACTGGATAATAATGAAGGCTCTTTATTCCTCAGTGGGTTAATCCACTGATGAGATCATAATTTAACAGCCTTATTAGGAGGTGATGAATATAGATTGTGGGGCCTAGTTAAAGGGAGTGAATCACAGAAATGCGACCTATACTGATTCCTAACCCGTACTCTCTGACTTTCTCACCCTCTCTGCATCCTAAGTGCCATGAGGTGAGCACTTTTCCTCTGCTACAATGTTCTGCCATGATATTTCTTCCTCACTATGGACCTAAAAACAACAGAACTGGTTAAGCCCAGACTGAAACTTCTGGAACTGTGAGCCAAAAGAAATTATTCTCTCTTTAACTGGTTTATGCCAGGTATTTTGTCACAGTGATGGAAATTGGCTAATACAGATCTTTAACATGAAATTGGTTCTAATTTACATTAAAAGAAGTGTTGTACATGTATAAATACCGAATAGTTTCTCTGGTGTGAGAAACTGAAAGTGTAAATATGGACTAAATGTATAATAGGTCATGTGAAATAGGAAGAAAAGGGGCAAAGGGGAAGGAAGTGGGAGGGCTATGGAAAAGGATAGAAGGGAATGGGACTAATATGAGAAAATGGAAAAATAGGAACAAAATCTTTGTAAATAGGGAGGAATGGAGAGGTTGAAGGGCGGGCTGGGCAAGGGTGAAAAATAAGAACCAAGAGAGACTATGTAAAGGTTCAAATTTCCAATGATGAGTGTCATTATATTGTATACCTAAAATGTACCAATGATTAGAATGAATAATCGATAATGCAAAATAGGAAGAAAAGGTCCAAAGGGGTAGGGGTAGTGGGCGGGGCAGGGGAAAGGAAAGGAGGGAAAGGAAAAATGATGAGAAATGGAAAAAATGGAAATAAAGTCTTTGTAAATAGGGAAGGGTGGAGGGGGTGAAGGGAGGGCTAGGAAGGGGGAAAAAATAAGAACCAAGATGCATTATGTAAAGGTACAATTCCCAATGAGAAATGTAATTTTGTTGTATACCTACAATGTACCAATAAAAGAATTTAATATAAAAAAAAAGATGTGATGTAAAAATGGGCTGAGTAGGGATTGGAATCCACAAGGAAACTGCCACCCAAGGCCATGTGCAAAACATTCTTCAGCTGTGTTTTTGTATAATTGGCTTTCTGGAATTCCCTTCCTGGCTCCCGTTTGAATTCTCCACATTGACATGGGCCATCCCACCACCTAGAGTGCTCCTCCATCCACTCTTCAAACCTGTCCTAATATCCCACCTCAGCAACACACCTGTGGCAGCACCATACCTGTATGAGACACTGGACTCACTCCCAGTTACTTAAATGGTTCTATGAGTGGCCCTCCCATTATCTACCATGTGTTTGTTTCTCCACCCAGGTGTTAATTTTCTTCTGACTTTCTTCAGAAGCATTTACAAAATCAACAGATTCCACATCAGCCAGGTAAAATTTCTTAACATCATCCAAATATTCCTTAGAGACATAAAAGAAGAAAGGAACAATTAAGAGTGACCTGTCCATTATCAAATTGAATTACTAATGAACACAGTCAGCTAAATCCAGACTCTGACCAAATCCATCATCTTTTGCACATTTTTGTGTGGATGCCATATAAGCAGTGTGAAAGGGGAGCCCAGGTCATTGAAAGTAAAATCCTTCTGCCAAAATCCCTCAGGGGAGGAGGCTATGGCGTGCAAATGTTAAAGCTTGTTACTCTGAAGGAGATGAATTGCTGCTGAGAATTCTCATCAGCAAATTCAATTTGGTTTATATCTTCCATCCTGGGAATTAAGTTTTTTTTTGTACTTCCCATTTTTTCCCTCAGGGATTCTTCCAAGGCTGGCCATCCCAGAATTATCCCATTACCCAGAATTTTCCGCTTAAAACACATTCTCTCTGACTCAGTGCCAGTTCATTATGACATCTTGAGACTGATTTTGTTGCTCCACATCCTCTTTTCTCATAAAATACTTCCTAAACTCACATTTTCCCCATGCATTGTCAGAGCCTGGCACACTCCAGTAAGGTATTGTTGGGGTGATGCAACAGATACTCTCTGGGGAAATGCTGTCCATGTGGGTCAGGATCATGTCCTTCACTATGTCCAATTGTGCTATTGAATGATAGAGGACCCATGGTTCAGGTGAAAGTTGTGGAGGGCCAGATGAAATTTACCTGAAGTAATTGGAAAGTCTTTTCTTTGTAGATCTTGTTGGCACTCTTCAGTTCATATGCATCAGTGGGTTTATTCCACTCAGTCAGGAGCTTTTGAAATTGGAGATGCACACTTCCTGAATTTTCACCCTTCAACATTAAAAAGAGTGCTCATTGGATTAGTACTTACCTCATTACATACTAAACTCCTGCAAAGTCTGTTCAATCGATACTTATTTGTTGATAATCTCAAAGATGACCTTTTTCTTAGTCCATGATATTTGTGATATTTTTTCTCATATAAACTTAATAAATTCACCTTACTGTCCATTTCTTTTGGGAAATTCTTTCTGCCTCCTATAAAATGCTATTATCTGTTTTTAGATTGAACTAAACTTTCATTATGTTGGATTTTCATTGATTTCTATAGTTAGGTTTTATTTTCCAGGCTAAACTCTATGTTCCTTAGGCAAACAACATATTTCATTTCTAATAGTCATTCAAGACGCAGTTATGTTGAAGTTTAGATATTTTAAATACATTAAAATACAAAGCCTTCTCATAGCCCTTGTCGGGATCCTTTTCTGTCCTCTAAGGCACTTTGATTTTAATCTGCGGCCCTTTCCTTGCATGGAAGAGTGATAGGTGCCTATTACCCAGCTAAGGACTGAGCACAGGCAATCTAAGTCTTATCAAGTGGAAATAAAAAACCTGATAGAACTAAATATCCTCTTAGCAAATTAAATTAGAAGAGCCCTAGTTTGGACCTAAACCTATTTGACCCTGGATATCATTTACCAGCTAAGAGTTTTGTTAATTTCATGACTAAGGTTGGGTGAAATAACAATATAGCTCTAAACCAATATATCTGCTAGGAATCATTTTCCAAAATATACTTCAACTTCTGCTTATTTCTTTTGGTTCTAGATTTAATTAAAATTGAGTTATTTTTGTACTACTACTATGCTTATGATAATTGTCATCTAATATTAACTGGTTTATTATGAGTTCCTATTTATGACACCCAAGCAGTGTTTGTAAATATTTGCATGAGTTGATTCAATTCTTTTTTACTTGATTTTACTGGCATGAGGTCACTGTGATTCAGAGCATTTGTGTGTTGGTGATGTTCACTATTTGTGAGGAGCAGAACTGGAATTTGAACCCAGCCTGTTTGGCTTCAGATTCACTTTCATTAATGCAATGCTGACTTTCTCTGATTGAAACAAAAACTTGAGAATGTTAATTGTGTAAATAAAATGTGAATATACTCTCTGTGTTCTTATGTCATGTTTAGGGTTCTCATTAAAATTTGCCTTTTTGCAGTTCATGTAAAATTCCAAAGTTTAAATTATGGTCCTCTCAGATATCTGAAACTGTCCTACAAGGAAAGTGCTCAAGTCCTCACCTGATTGGTTTGAGTTTTTTCTGTGATTTCATTGAAGTGAAGGACCTGGAAGAGAAAGGAAATGAGAAAGAAAATTCTACTCAAAAGATCTGTCTAAGTCAGAGGAAAGAAAACCAGAGAAATAACTAGTTTTGGAGAATGCCTGTAATCTAAGCACTCTGAGACTGAGGCAGAAAGTTCACAAGTAGAAACTCACCCTGAAGTCTTTAGCAAGTTAGAGATATGCTGCTGTAAAAAAATTGAACGGACAGAAAATGCATGAAATGTAACTCAATGTGATTGAATTGGTCCAACCCCCATCAACAGGGGCAGTGAGGTTCAGAACAAAATCTTAAAAAAAAATGAAAACAAACAGAAATATTAAAGAAATAGAAAAAAATCTCCAAACTTCAGGATACGAGTATGTTCTTTGAAAAACCTCATCAGAGTTGGTTTATCATCAGACATTTCAAAGAATGTTCATCCATGCACTCATGGTTGAGGAGCCCTCTGGTGATGTATCCCTTGGATTTACATCCAAGCATCCCTTATGTCAGTAGTCCTCAAGTGTTAAGCTCCTTTCTCATTGCTGAGCAGTTGTAGATCAACTCACTTTCCAAATAATAGCAGGACACAGGGAAGAACATGGCAAATATTAGGGGAGTGCTTCCTCTGTCCCATAACTCTGTGATCACACGGTCATGGGAACGCTTGCTCAGTGTCCTGTTCCACCCATCAGACCACCAGATCCACACATCTGTGCACATGCTCGCCAACAGAAAAGTTGTACAGGTCTAAATATAATGGTTCTGACACTCACCTTCTCAATCTCCTTTGCAGTATTTCCTTTGGCCCCTAAGTAGACCATGGCTAATGCCGCTGAGATGCTGGCAGGGGAGTAGAAGACATCGCCTTTTGATTTTCATAACGCTTGAAACAGATCAAGTGCAAACTTGGTGTTTGCTTCATTGAGTGAACTCATAGTGACTTTAGTGTGAAGAGGAACTCCTAGAAAGCATAGGATTCATGTCAATACAACCTTATTGATGGAGCATCACTCTGCAGCAAAATTTCCTTGAAAAAGATGACATAGCGTTCCTAAATTCTGGCAAGTAAGGTTTTTATTAGTGTTACTTTTCAAGCCTCCCATGATGTCATGCATTAATCTCCTAACTAGAAAATTCATGAAAGCATTGTTTTAAAAATACTTTTGTAAAGAATCAACAGGACATCTTTATCTTTCCTTCATCACTGGCTGTGCTAGCTTTAGACTTTGTAACCAATGCCAAAAGGAAGATCTCTGGATCATCTCCAGGCAGCTCTCAACAGGCATCTCTGACTTTTCTGACGTGGGTCTGTGTTTGTTAGGCACTTTGCATAAGTGCTTGTAGGAATATATTTGCTTACATAGAAACAAATTATTTAGATAAAGGATAAAAGAGACATTTAAAATTTTTCTTCTCACAATAACACAGACAATGTCAATTTAATCCTTGATATAAAATTCAGCATTCTTACTATTCTCAAAAGCAATTCATATCATTAAGCTGCTGCAGCTGGAAGCCCTTACCTGTGTTCCCTGAGCACAAGAAAGTCAGCAGGGAGCCTGTGAGCCTGTGTGTTTTGGATGGTGAGATACTGAATATATACCTCTCCTCTGGCCTCCTCTGCGTCATTTCAGTTGGTATTTCAAGTAAAGCAACTTTAGATTTCTCAACCACTTTAATCTTCCACATTCTGAGTGTACAAATTTCTGAAAAGAGCAAGTTTTAGTTACTGCCACTATGCTTCCTTTTGCTGTAGAAACAAATTTTAAATTTTCAATCATTGGTAATCCTTGACTCCCTTGGAGGACACATTGTACTTTTCTAACACCCCTGAGTATATATTTGAAATTACTCCATCTTCTTTCCCTTCTACTCCATCCCTCTGTACATTCTCATAACTTTAGTAACTATCTTCCTTTTTGAGGTGTTAAATTGTTTTAAAGCCACACTTAGGTTACCAAACAACCACAAAGCTTACATTTGCTGTTTTCAGTGCTGAAAGATTTTATTTATCCTACCCATTTTTCTAGCATTGTATATAACCAAGAAAATAGTTAACTCTATTCCAAAGAGACACTGAGGATGTATTTCAGCAAACTCCAGAGAAAGTGTTCTTTTGCTACTCTTCCTTCTGTGTTTTCCTTGGTACACTGTGTACCCTGAGGATGTCTGTGGGAGGGATGGGGCATATAACTCAGTGTCTCCTTGACCTTCAGGTGTTTGGGGGGGGCTGCTTATTCTGTGGACCTCCCTTTTATTGGAATATAATTCATACATCATAAGGTTCACTATTTTAGATTGTACAATTCAGTGGTTTTTAGGACATTCATACATTTATGTACCTATCACATGATCTCATTTTGCAATAATTTTATCACTGTTAAAAGAATACATCCATTTCATTTTTCCCTCTCTCCAAACCCTGTAAACCAATAATCTCTCTCTTCTATTATTTTGCCTCAACATTTAATGTAAATGAAATAATGTAGTATTTGTCTTTCTTATGTTCACAGTTTCATTTAACAATATGTTTTCATTGTTCATCCATATTATAGAATGAATCAGTTCATCGGTCCTTTCTATGGCAATGTACTTTCTCTAGTGTGAGAAACTGAAAATGCAAATAAGGATTAAAATAAATAATTGATAATTTGAAATAGGAAGAAAAGGTCTGGAAAGGGTAGGGGAAATGGGAGGGGAAGGGGAAAGGAAAGAAGGGAAAGGAAAAATTATGAGAAAAGAAAAAAATGGAAACAAAGTCTATGTAAATAGGGAAGGATGAAGTGGGGAGAGGTGCACAGGTAATGGGGAAAAAAATAAGAACCAAGATACATCATGTATAGGTACAAGCACCTAATGATAAATGTAAACGTATTGTATACCTAAAGTGTACCAATGGAAGAATTTAAGCAAAACGAAAAAAGAGTCCAAAGTATGGATATGTCACATTTTTTTTACCATTTGTCAACTATGGATATTTGTTTTGCTTTTGTTTTTTGCCTATTATTAAAAATAATGTTCTGATCTTTCATGCATATTTCATATGTGGCATATCTTCATTTCTATTCAGTATATACCTACTAGTAGGATCACTAGGTCATATAATAATTCTGTTTAACATTTTGAGGAAATTTTCAGAATCACTTCTACAGTGACTATAACATTTTGATTTCCAACAAGCACAGGGTTTTTATTTCTCCAAATTTGTCTCCAACATTTGTTATTGTCATGGACCTTTCTGAACACCAGTAATGAGACTGTTGTTTTGGTACCTCACAACATCACAGGAAAATTCATCTATGATGAGATTTCTGAGCTCATAGGTTGGGAGTATGGAACAGCAGGGAGAAAGGTAGTTAGGTTTTCAGAACTGAAAAATTTTACCTATTTGCTTGCTTGACGCTCAAGACGTGATGCTTTCAGGTCTTCTTTATCAAGATATATGTGTTAAGTCTCTGAATGATTTTGTTAGTGCAATTGTCCTGATTTGAATTGGGGCACGAATTACTGGAGTTTTGGTGAACTAAATAGTCCAAATATAAAAGAAAAAGGAAAGTGAAAATATGAAAAAACAATCCAGCCCACACAAGAAGAATGCAATCTCCTCACTTGAGTCTTTGTTTGCATATAGTCACAAGATAAAAATGAGCCTTTATATGGCACATGATGGATTTATTAATGACAGAAAGGAATCTAACTTCTCCATAAAATACAGTAGTAATGAGAATTTCAGCCTGGAAATGGAGGCAATAAATAGAAGAGAAACCAAGAAAGATTGAGGTTTCAGGAGGCTATGTGGGGAACAGAACTTCATACACTAAGATGAAATTCTCCTGAGATATAAGGTATGTCATGCAGAGACTAAGTTTGGATAAAAGGTTCTAATTTATAATGATCAGCAATTGACTTTAACTTAAAGTGTGGATTTGTTTAAATGAAAAATCTTTTTATTATTTTCTTCTGTTTCTGAAAATGCTCCCGGTATGTGATAAGTAGGATGTGACATCTGGATATATGTTATCCCCAAAGTCCCTCCATCTTCAGAAGTTTTTGCATATGGGCAATTACCAACTAATACTTGTCTATATTGCATAAGATTATGCCAATTTCATTGCATCTAGTAATCTAGGAATTAAAGACAACAGTAACAAAAACAAACAAAGGTTAAAGGAAATTGCACTTTTGGGAACCATTCTGCTGTTACAATTGCCTTCACAGTTTGGTTATGTAAATCTCCTAGGTTTTCTTTTTGAAGGGTGTGTTCTCAGTACTGTTAAGCTGCACATCAAAGAGAGAATATTTTATTAATTCCTTCTTTCAAAAGATGTGGTCATGCCTTTCTACGGGGAAGTGGTTAGTGGAGATTTTTCCTAGCAGTAGATAATTCCATATATGCCAATTCCTGTATTTCCTATCATCTCTCTAAGATGTAGGTATAGATATGTATGTATTGAATAACCTCAGAACAAGGTTAACTAGCTTTCTCTAAGTTTTCAAACATGGAAAACAACCCCAATAAATTTGAAAATAACTTATTTAGGGAATTAGTCTCATGTATAATGGACCATGGAATACAGAAAAAATATTATGTCCACTTACCTTCCCCCCACTTCCTACCCACAAGCACCCCCAAGAACAGACATCATACTCTGTTTTCAAAAAAATCAAATTTTGACCCCTCACTGATCTCTTATACATCAATTGCTTATTCTTCTTGGCAGTCTTGTTTTATAGCCAGAAAACATCAGTAAAGAATCTCCCCTTTCCTAGAACTGGCCTTTTTTATTTGATTTATCTGCTACATGGATTTTACACAGTAATTGATGAATCTTTATCTTCTATCCATGTACCATAAATCCAGGGAATATAGTCTTCTTTTTTATCCCCACTACTTTCTATAGCCATTGTTCTTTTGCTGTCTTAATTGTCCTATTTTCATTTTTTGGCCATGGAAGTACTGTATATATCACCTTGTAGCCATTTACTATCTCCTATGTAACTCATTAATATTCACTAAGCAATCTTTTGTCTTTCTGCCGTAACATATTTTTCTTTATTATCCTAACTGCTTCCAGTATTTTGAGTGACTTCAAACCTTTTATGTCCTTGGTAGCAAATGACACTGCATTTTGTTTTCTCTTACATTTGTTTCCTAGTTGAATTGAATAATCTTTCTTTTGCTTTTTGTTCATGAGACTCCCTCTGTTTCTTTATTTGAATATGCTTTTTATATGAATCAGTTGGACCTAACAGATGTAAAGAGAATAACTTATTCAATAATAACAGAATATGCATTTCTCTAAAATGAACATGGAATGTACTTCATGATAGACTATGTCCATAAAGCATTTTTATGCATTAATAAAACTGAAGCCAGTGTGGTGGATTATGCCAGTAATCCCAGCACTTGGGAGGCTGAGGCAGGAGGATCACCATGAGTTTGAGGCCAGCCTGGGCTACATAATGAATTCAAGCTGAGTCTGAATTACACAGGAAGACCCTGTCTCAAATAACAAAAACAAATTAGAGATATAAGTTAAGAAAACTGAAATCATATGAAGTTTATTTTTCTACCATAGTGAAATGAAATTAGAAATTTATGACAGAAAGAAAAACTGAAAAATTTGAGAACATGTGAAAAGTTAAAAACATAACTACACAGCTATAGTAACCAAAGTAGCATGATGCTAGCATAAAAAGAGACACATGTATCTATGAAACAGAATATAAAGCTGAGAAATAAATTCATATATTTATGATCAACTGAATTTTAACAAAGGTAGTGAGTATCTACATCAGAGAAAAAAGACTCTTCAATAATTATTTCTTGGAAAACTGACTTTTCATAGACAGAGGGGACTAGACCTTTAATTATCCCCATACACAAAAATCTACTCAAAATAGATGAAAATCTCAAATGAAAAAGTCCAAAATAATTGGAAAACATCAGAAGAAAATGTAAAGGAAACACTTCAGAACATTGGTTTGGGCAAAATATTTTGCATATAATATCCAAAGCAAGGCAACAAAGCAAAAGTTGACAAATGAGATTATGTTGGAGTAAAATGCTTCTGTATAGCAAAGAAAACAACATTTTCTCTCTCTCTGTCACACACACACACACACACACATGCGCGCGCGCACGTGCATACCACAGACGAATGTTATTCAGCCCTAAAAAGGTATGAAATTTCCAATACAAAATAAAAGATAAAGGAGGGATGAGCCTTGAAAACATTTTACTAAGTGAAATACACTAGAAAATAAAAAGACAAATGTAGTATAATTCCAACTATATGAGGAACCTAGAATACTGGAATTCATAGAGATGGAAAGTAGAATAGGGATTACAATGGCTTGAGGTATGGATAATGAGATATATGTATAATGAATACAAAGTTTCAGTTTGTGATAGAGAAAAAGATTTGGAGATGTATGGCGGTGCTAGTTGCACAGCATGCCAATTACTTAATGCTACTAAATTGTACAGTTGAAATTGTTTAAGTAGTAAATTTTATATTATGTGTAGAAACAGGAAACAAAAAAATCATGAAATTAATATCTTTAGTGACTTACTAATACCTGATAAAAGCTTCTCTGTTTCTACCTGAATATTCTGGAATACTTCTCTTTGTTTACCTCTGTATGAAGTAATAGTTTTTATTCTTCTTTTATTCTTCTATACACTTCCCAACTCCTGTCTCCA